ATTTGGTTGCTCATTTGCCACATCACGACCAAATCAATAAAATCATCTAATCAACCATACAACTCCGGAATCTTTGATGACGAATGATACGATGAAATTCTATTGGAAGAATGAGAATCAAAATAGGAATTTTAAAAAAATATGTTTAATTGGTACTTTAAAATGAAAATTCTTATTTTTTAGGGAATCAGGTTTTATTAAATGAGAGAATTCAGATTTTATCACTAGAGTGATAAAATCTGGATTCCATCTATTGATGAAATTCTTATTTTTGTATTAACTATTATGATACCTCTTATTTTTTAAGTAAATAACAAAAATATTTTATAGATATAAAAAATTATAAGTATTTATAGTATTATATATTAATATATTACATATTATATATATATCTATTACAATATAATAAATTGTATAATATGATATTATTATATTTAAATATATTATATAATTTACTATATTTATATGATATAATATATACATATACAACTTATTACACACACACACACACACCCACACACATATATATGAATTTAATATTTTAATATTAGAATACAAAATTAATTTTTTAATTTTTAAAATTTTATAACAAAGGGTATTTTATCTTTTAACATTTTTTATTTACTTTCTTACCTTTATTCTAATATACCAAATATAAAGATAGAAGATGAATTTTCATCTTATCAGTATGTATCAAATACATTCATAAAAATCTTAATTTCATTTCATTCCATTCATATTCCTATTTCAATTCTTATTTACGTTCTTATTTTTACAAAAATCATTTCATCGTACTATATATGACATTTGAGTTATTCCATCCTTAGTTCTACTTCTATCTTTATCAGGTAAATGATTTTCAATTTATTTAATTTTATAAAAAAATTTTTTTGAGTCAAACAATGTTGTCTCAATCAATCTGATCACTCATTTGTGTTAGCTCCAATTTATCTGTAGTTGCATAAGAAAAACAATGGTTATTAGGTCATATGCTGTTCTATTGACTGCATATCATCCTTTCAACAGCTATTACCTGTAATAACTTGATTGAGAGCCATAAGACAGAAAGAATATTGGGGTAACTAAAAGCACTCGAAAACACTTTAATATATATATATATATATATTGTGTGTGTATATATGCATATGTATATGTATATGTATATGGTTGTTTAACTGACTATTTTTCACCCTTTTTTAACCTTTTTGTCATCTAAGGAAGCCATGAAGAAGTAGCTTGAGAAACACGTATTAATCCTCTGCTCTTTTATGGAAAAAGGGTCAATAAGTTCCGTAAGAACTTTGTTGGTATATTCATTAAATTGAAGGGAGATGAAATTTGTAATATCTTTCCACCCAGTTGTTTGAATTTCCATTATAATATATATGATTGATCACCGTAGAAAAAAATGGAACAGTAAAAATAAGTTCGATGCTTGCAGTAATATCCTTCTTCTGATATCATCTTTTACCTTTGCATTTGATTCTCTTCCTTTCTTTATTCGAAATGGTTGCCAGCAGATTAAATTACGTGGACATGTAAGTTGGTCTAGGTAGGTAGAAAAGAAGTGATAATCCCATTCCTTAAACACCGACCCTGAAAGGATTTCTTCATGAAATAAATGAACATGATCACCACCTTATCTACAATGATATGCTTTTGTAAGTGAAGAGATCACACTCTGCTTTCTTGGAATATAACCTGGATTCTATTAGTGCAAAAGTTCCCAAGTATATAAACCTAACATAAACTAATTGCATTCCCACTGGAGATTTTGTAAGACCCCCTTATCCATGTATTAGCTAACCAAGTATTAAACATTATCTTTTATTTGACGAGACAGGTCTAGATTAATATTGGTCATTAGATTTATGCCACCAAACAAAGAAACAAGGTGATTCGTATCGCACATTTAGGTAGTGTTTGGTTTCTCATGTATGTTGCTTTTGAGTTTCCAATCAATAAAGGCTTTTACATTAGAAAAAATGTCAAAAAAAAAAGCTTAGAAAAGCTAATTAATTAGTTCTTTATAACTTTTTAAAAAAAGTTATAAAACGCAGGAGATTTTTTAGTTTCAAACACCTCTAATTTATAGAGGATATGCTGATGGTTTTGGTTAGTATTATTATTTATTCATAGTAAAACTTTACTATTTTGAATTTTTCCACTAAAAATTTGTCGTAAAGAATTATGTTATAGCCGTTTTTACAGAATTATATATTTTTTTGAAAAAAGGGAAAGAAAATGGGTTTTATTGAAATAAAATATTAAATACTCTATATACTTACTTATGTAAAGCTAGGCAATTTCTAATTAAGTTTTTTTTATCTTGCTTCACAAGGAAGTTGTTTTAGCTTTAGCTTAAAAAGAATTTCTCCGTAATGACTTTTTGTCTTTTACAATACTTGGCCGATGAGAAGAATAAAGGCAAGATAGCAAGTTCTAGATTGTTTGTAGCTTTTGTACCGTAGTCAGAGGGATACTTGGATGCTTTTTGATTAAGGGCTTTGACTAAGAAGCCTCAAAAACCGGTGGGAACTAACAGTTTTCTCTTCTTTTGTAACGTTCACGATCAAGTGCTAAAGCCTCAAAACAGGAAATGCTTGGCAGGTTTTAACCAAGTGCCGTGGAGATCAAGGAAAGGAAGTGCTCTCTGGGTGTTGCAATGGTGCCGGAAAAAGGAGCTACAGCCAGGAGAGTACAAAGAAGAATGAATGTCAAGAATGATAAAGCAAGCACTGGTCCCCTTCAAGATGAAGCTTGTTTCATCCGATACAGCAATCATTACTATTTTGCTTGCCCTAAATTTATAATTAATCAGCCCAACTCCCCGAAACAGTTCCCCGATTCATATGCAACCTTAACAGATTGTTCATAGATTACGCAATCAGAGCCGTGATGGTGTTGATCATGACTAACTAGCAGCGATCCGAGGTGTTGGATTTAGTATACGTAACCTCTAATCTTCTGCTTTCTAGCACTTAAATTAGAATTGTTGAATAACAGTCCGTGAAGATAATTATGTTTATAATAAACTTCTCAATAAAGCTAAAGGTAAAAGTTGAAGAACCAAATTCTTCTCACACTAGCCCCAACTTATTCAGATTTTGAAGTTAAACTGTGCTGTGCCAAGTACACTGTGCATAAAAAAGTGCTTCAGTTTCGCCTATATATGGTCTCTAGCTTCCACTTAAATTTAGAATTATTGGTGTAAATAATCAGTATAAATTGAAAGCTTGAAGAACCCAGTTAATTAATTCCTTTCTAAATGCAGTAATGGTTTGCAAGATCACATGGGGGATGGCCCTGTGAGAATCTTGTTATTATCAATGTCACTGCTGGGTAAGCCTGGAAGGCACCAAGGGAGCCCCCTTGGGATGTGTTTTCTTGTGGCAATCCTCAGCTGTTGTCTTTCCTCTTTAAGCGGGTGGCAAAGGATTTTTGCACGGTCGGTGTCGCTTTGTTACCCTGATTATTGCATATGCCCGTATATCACTTATTGATCTTGTCGTGTTATTAGGTCTCTGGGAGGACTTCTCCTATTGATGATCTTTAGAGAAGGACAATTTAACCAAGGTTTGCCTTGAATTCTTCAATGGAAGCGAGATACTTGTCCCCCCTGAAAGTGATCTGCTTGAAGTTTGATGTCTTGTATCTATGTAAAAGTAATCTCATCTAGATTGAGTTAGAGTGAGTCGTGTAGTTGATTAATAAAGGAGATTAGTAAAATGACGACTTGTTCCTCTCTCATGTTTCTATACTCCATTCAGTATTGTGGGTGATCATATATGCTTAATTAAGATAATTATATTGAATTTCTCTATGTTTTACGACTAGTTAATTAAGGAAACCTTTAATTAAATTAGATGTTTAAGGAACCTCGATTCCCTTTTTTTTTTTTGGGTGTCAAGCTCTATAGCCTTTTTGTTTTTGCTTTCCTCTTCTGGCGTTCTTAGAATATTTTATACTTCGGTTTCAAGAGAGTTATTTCTACCTTTTTAAACATATATGAAGGGAATGGAAAATATAAATTCCAGAAATTGACCATCCATCTCCATGAAATGTTATATCAGATGTTTCCAGCATTTTCTATTTTTCAAAATTAATTTCATTTATGGCAAAAAGATTCTAAACTCGAAATGTGATTTTGAAAATCTGAAGAATTAATGAAAACCACAAACAATTTTCTGCACCGTCATTGGAACCCTCTAGTTTTAAATATTTTTTTTAAAAAAAAAACCCAAGTCAAAGAAATATAACCCACACTTGTCATAAAAAGGGGGAAATGTAACCCACAACCACATGAATGGTCGCTTCCTTGCTGAATTATATATTCCACGAGGATAATGACGGCCACTTCACGCCTTTGTTTGTAATTTTTTGGCTATACATATTACTCCTGGTTTATTTGAAAAATATTTTTTCCAAAAGAGCAAATTAAAAATAAAATAAAGAACTTGACGATGATATGCCCCAACCCCTTAAATCTGGCCGTTCATTCTGATGGTAAGGCTGGACGGAGGGTGGGCGACCAACAAATACAATCATTCATTCTCTCCACACTCCACCTCAAAACTTCAAACAGAATATACAAAAATTTCATAACTTAAAAAAAAAAAAAAGTTGCATACAAAAAGGACAATGAAGTGAATTGGGTTTAATTTAATTTCATTTATCGTGCATTTGCCCCTCATTCCAAGCTTATATAAAGTGACTCAAGGGCCATGGCTGAACTCAGGATCAAAGGCAAGTAGGTTGGCTTCCTCTCTAGGGTTGCTGGTTTGCTTTCCTTACCCTCTTCACTACTACCAATACACCTGTTTGCACCAATAGGTCGCGCAAAAGCTGCCTTTAAGCTCTCAAGGTCTATCAATGGCTCCCCCCGACGTGCACGTCGGCGTCTTCTCAGATACCGGAAAGATTATTACTTTAAATAATGGTGGCTACTCGAAGCGAGCCTATGTGACATTTTTAGCCGGAAATGGGGATTATGTGAAGGGGTGGTGGGATTGGCCAAGGGTTTGCGGAAGGTCAAGAGCGCGTACCCGTTAGTGGTGGCAGTCCTACCTGACGTGCCGGAGGAGCATCGCCAGATCTTGGGGTCTCAGGGTTGCATTGTTCATGAGATTGAGCCCATCTACCCTCCTGAGAACCAAATTCAGTTTGCCATGGCCTACTATGTCATCAACTACTCCAAGCTCCGTATATGGAATGTAAGTTTGCTCGACATAACTAGTTTTTTCTATAAATAAAAAAATTATGCATAGTTTTTATATAGAATGATATGCTTTTGAGGATCATCCATTCACTTAAAAATTTAGTATGTGCATGGAAACTTAGGAGTCTTGTGATGCAGGTAAAAGTGTAAATTTTAATGGGTTTGTAGGGCCAAATTGGAATAAAGGAGAGATTTGGTAAGAATATTTTTTACCTTCGCTAGTATTTAAGTAATTTGTTCTCTTATTTTTTTGCCTCCAAACAGAGTTAGCTCAATAAGTTATTAACACTTTTTTTTATAGTCACAACCTTTGCCCGTCTTTGCTTTTCTATGAAGGGAAGAGAAGAAAAGATGAAAAGCGAAAGAAAATTTTAAGATATTTATTAAATTTATTTCTTTTTGCCGCAAGGAAAGGGAAAGAATGAAATTGTACTCTTGCCCAGTTTCATTTTTTTTATTAGAAAAAATACAACATGGAAATTATTGCTTCCAATCTTTACCAAAATCTGCTCGACTCCCACACAATCTTCATACAATTCGCAGTCATCTGGGAACCCTCTGTAGGATAAGAACACTTGAAGCTAATAAAGGAGATGTACGTAAACAGATAAGCTTGTGATTTCAGGCCACATAAATATGGACTCCCTGATAACTCAGTTTTTTAGGCTCTCAAGCCCAAAAAATAAATAAAAATAAAAATAAAAAAATCTGAGTTTTGATTTGTAGATTCTTGCCTTTATACTGTTAATGTATGAAACACCTCTTGGACGGCATAGGACATTTGGCCTTCATTTTCCCACCCGATACGACAGTTTTCAACTCAGCCAAACATCTCTGCTTGCATTCATTTGTTAGTTTTCATGTTAATTGATATTCCATTGTGTTGTGTCATGTTGGATTTATGCTGTGTTTGTGTCGGCAATTACATTGTTATTTGCAGTTCGAGGAGTACAGCAAGATGCTGTACTTAGATGCAGACATCCAAGTGTTCGACAACATAGACCACCTATTTGACATGCCCGACGGCTACTTCTACTACGCCGTCATGGACTGCTTCTGCGAGAACACCTGGAGCCACTCTCCCCAGTACTCCATCGGCTACTGCCAGCAGTGCCCCGACAAGGTAGCGTGGCCAGCGGAGATGGGCTCCCCACCACCCTTGTACTTCAACGCCGGAATGTTTGTGTTCGAGCCTAGCCGATTGACCTACGAAAGCCTCCTTGAAACTCTCAGGATCACCACACCAACCCCCTTTGCTGAGCAGGTGAGCTCCATTACCGTCACCGCGATTTCAATGTATATGGGAATATTATTTCAATAATCCACAATAATTTTTTTAATTTAAAATTTGTCTTTGTATGAATTGATTAAAATTTTTAATTTTTAAAGGAGAGAAAAAAGCAAATTTCCTTTCTTTTTAGTTACAAAATTTGATTCTTTTTATTTAATGATATTTTTGACCTCTCTTGTAATTTTAGGGCATTGGACTGGGCGGCTGTTTGACGCTGGTACAGCATCACTAAATGACTATCACGTGTTGGCTGTCATGTGATAATTGTACCATGTGGCATTCAATTGTGCTGCCCTAATCAGGCTGTCATGTGTGATAATTGTACCATATGGCATTTAATTGCGCTGCCCTAGTATCAAAGAGATTGAATTGAGCTGTCTTTTTCAATTCATAACATGAGCATGGCTATCATGGTTTACATTTTCTATGAACACTGACAAGGTCCAAAGTGATGCATGGTGACGGTAGAGTACTGTAAGATCTGATACTGAAGAAAAGAGCAAAAGCAAAAATCAGTTATGGAAAATTGCCCTCCAAGCCTGAACAAAGAGTTTGTCTTTGAATCTAAATTTCTTTGCTTTTCCTTGGTGTACACATGACAGGATTTCCTGAACATGTTCTTCCAGCACGTGTATAAGCCTATTCCTCTTGTCTACAACCTGGTTCTGGCCATGCTATGGCGGCACCCGGAGAACGTACAACTTGAAAAAGTTAAAGTGGTGCACTACTGTGCTGCTGTACGTACCCCATTTTAGCTCTCTGTTTTGATTTACATTCTGTATTCTGTTGTCAGTTTGTATTTCTATGTTGTTCTCACTTTCGACCAAAAATAGTTTTCGGGAATTCTGCAAACAATAGACCTTGTTTTCTGAAAATTCTATCTACAGAACATTTTTCTCAGAACAGCCTGCCAGAAGGTTTTTTTTGGTTTTCTAGAACAGAAAGCACTTCTCAAAGACAAATCGCTTCAGGTTGTTTTGAGCTTGTTCGAAGTGGTTTTTTCAAGATAGAAAAGCTAATAGCCATAGACCCAAAAACTCATTCGACTTTGGCTTTTAAAGAAGTTCCTATAAAAGACCGGATTTTCCAAAACTAAATACCCTCTTTATTGACCAATTTGGACTCATTTCTCTTCAATTGTTTCCGAGAACAGGGTTCCAAACCATGGAGGTACACTGGGAAAGAGACTAACATGGACAGAGAGGACATCAAATTGCTGGTTGCGAAATGGTGGGATATATACAACGATGAGTCTCTGGATTTCAAATCTGCTGAAGCCCCTTCTCTGGAGGGAGAGGCCTTTTCCAAGCCCTCGATCATGGCTCCATGCCCGAACCGGCAATTTCATACATCCCAGCTCCTTCTGCTGCTTGAGAGTTGAGGAACTTGCTAGTCTCAAAGAGTGACAAAAGTCGGTGTAACTTATCTAAATTAGCTTGCTTAATACTTTTTTAGGCTCCTTAGCCTTTCTTTTTACTTTTTCTTTCGGATATGAGACCTTACAAAATGAATCTAAGTTGTTGTATTTGATGTTTTTTGATATGTGTAATGTATCCACTAGAAAAAGGTCTGTATGACTTGGGGCTGGAACTAAATGAAAACTTTTATTAGTAGTCATTAGATGGAAGGCTAATATTTATTTATCTACTCCTCCACCCCCACACCCCCCCCCCCCCCCAAAAAAAAAAAAAAACAATTTCAAATGAGCCATGATTCAGTGGAAGCCATGTCTAGACTCCATTGAAACTGACTTGATAGTGGTTTTGTAACACCTTTTTTATAGTAATTTGAAGAATAATACTTCTATTTTTAAAGATTGTTATCAAATTGTTATCGTCTCCAGCCACCACCGTCAAAACAACCGTACCCATCCTTTCCCAACAAAAATAAATCCAGGAAACACCACTTTCTCTTTGCGTCTCCCTGCCCATCCTCTTCTTCCTCCCATTGATCACAAGAGGAAGATCACAACTGCAACTCGGGTTCACGCGCCACCTTTCATTTCTTAGATTTCTTCTATCTTGAGAATGGTGTGTGATCCGTGGTAGTGTCCCATTGCTGTAATGTGTGATTATATGACTCTTTTTGCTGATTTAATTTGGGAAACATTTTTGCTAAAGAAAGAAGTCTCAAATGTCTATCTTGTGCGTTATTTTATGAAAGCATGCAGCTTCAATTTGGCATCCCGCACTCCCAGAGAGGAGGACAAAGAGAGAGTTGTCCTACCAAGTACAAACTTGATGACTAAGGTAAATTTTGCACCATTGGCACTTCAACTCAAATGCAATGTTTAATTTAGCCCCGAATGAAAAAGTTATTCAACCAAGCGCTTTACTCCATCATTCTTGTTCAGCAACGTCCAATTGTCATATTAAGCAAGCAATTAATAATTGTTTTGAAACACTAAAAAAAGGAGAATAAGAGAAGCCCCTTCTTTCTTTATCAAACGGCTCCAGTGCTTCCAATTCCCACACTCAGTTCATCTCTCATCAAATGTGTTCCCCTAACCACTTTCAACCAACTTATCTTCATAAATTTATATTAAAATAAAAGTATGTATCTATTAAATGGATAAAAATAAATAAAAGTTTGAAATTAAAGTAACTTAATCCTGAGACTCGTGCCTTGTAGCGTATATTCATTTTCTTGGGGAAAATTAGGAATAATTTTTACAAAAAAGGACAGAAAGGGGAATAGTTAGCAGTTCGCACTCAGTATTTGACTCTCAATAATAAATTGATTAAACTGCAAGCGGAATCTTCTGCAACCATTTTTCAGTCCACCGTCTTGCATAAGCTGACTAAGGGTTCTAATTTTTTTAGTAATAATATTTTCACACATTAAACATGAATATTGGGTATAAATTATTTTTATTAATTATTAAATAATTTTTATAATAAAGAATAGAACAATTAATACTAATATAAATATAAAATATTTATATTATTAATTTAATTAAAATATAATAAATATAATTAATTATTATTCTAATCTATTAAATTTTAACTATATTAATGATTAGAATTTATACTTATATTTATTCATCTCTCCTTTCGTAATAATTTTGTGCTCCAAAAATTTGCATATTTTGTTCCAGGACAGGTAATGTTAATTTAAATTCGTGGACACGCTTTTCGCTGTGGCCCTGTGGCCCGATGAGACGTATTTTAACGGAGGCTCCAGTCTGCAGTCGGGCTCACAATGTCCAGGTGCGGCCGTCGCTGCGTTGACCGCTGAAGGATGACGCCGTTAAATTACAAAAGGTACCCTCACTTTAGTTGCTAGCACCACTTGCTGTTGTATATCTGCGCGGTACAACCCATCTCAACGGTTGCCACGTAATCTGTTTACAATGGTCATGTGCGCAAACTATTTCAGTTAGGACTGGTAGCCTCCCAATTGCGCGAAGGGTATGAAGTTTCTCCTCCCGGGTTAGGTGGGGGTTGCGCCTATCGCTCTCATTCTAATCTTTGCTTGGTCTAAGCACAAGTAAGCAGACTTTGATCGCTATATAATACGCGTTTGTATGTCCATGATGTAGAGAGACGATACCAATTCAAGTCTTTGAACGACCACAGGAGAGTGATGGAGGGCGGGGCTCGGGGGAAATTGGAGGAAGATTCTGGAATTTTGTCGTCGGAGACATCAGTTGATGAAGTGTCACACCTGGCCGTCGACATTGGAGGTGATCTCCAACTTCTGTAATTTCTTGTTCTGTTAACCTCTTTCCATATCAGAGTAATCCGTACGTGTATGTTGCTTCCAAAGGAATTCTACTTCGCCATTCTTCGGTTGTCTGAGTTTGTCGCTAGCTAGTCTTCCACTAGGTATGTCTCCTACGAGGTTCGAACGCTGTAACTGGTCTGAAGCACGGGGAATTCGGAAGTTATTACTCTAGAGAATTCGATTTGACAGCTTTCTTTAGTCTCCATTTGTAATGGCAAAAATAAGATTAGAAGTGAAAAATACTAGAGAGTAGAAGTAATTGTCACTATGTACATGTTTGCTCAAAGAAACTGTTCAGTTTCTATGCATTTGGTTGAGCAGGAGTTTCTCTAGAATGTCCAAGAAAAACAGATTCCATGTTCATGACAGTTATTGATTATTGTAATCGGATTCGAATAACTTATCCACATGTCTGCATATGAATATATAGTGACACGAATAGAGCAAGCTTTTATGTTTTGCTTTCCGGCTTGTTTTGTTTATTTGTTTTTTCTTCTTTGGTGAAAAATTATTGATGAGTAATTCGCTTTCTTTTCCTTGAAACTAAAGGATGAAACAATTTTTATTTTTCCATAAAAATTTACTTTCTTCTTGATATAGTTTACTTCAGTTTCTATTAGATTTTACTTAACACAATGGAGACTGTAAGATATAGACACATGTTCCTTCCGATTGGAATTCATACAGTATAATGAGAGCTTTTCTTGCTTCAAAGTAAGTCCTTTCTGAAGATGATATTTGGAACTCTTGGATCGACTGTGTCTACTTAATGCCTTGCCTTATACCATATCTTAGATTATCATTATACATTTAAGTTTTGATTAGTATTATCCTACTTACATTTTTGTTTAATTGACTTCAGTGATATTGATCGTGCCTTCTGTAGAATGATTGTATGTGGTAACTTGGTAATTGTTGGCAGGTTCCCTGATCAAATTGGTTTATTGTTCAAGAAATAAGAGCAGAGTTGATGACAAGGAGAAGAAATCCACAAATGAGTGTATAGGAGTTGCTGATGTTAGTATGACTATCCAGTCCTGTGGCAGGCTTCATTTTGCAAAGTTTGAGACAAGGAAGATCAATGACTGCTTAGAATTTATCTCATCGAAGCTACTACATAACAGCGGTATTGTGGTAGCAAATTAGGAACTTCAAATTGAACTATGTATGACTAATTAATCAATTGTGATACATTTAAAACCAGGGATCGCTACCTTTTCTCTATGGTGCAAATTGTTTTCATCATCTTCTTCAGGGATGAACTCACTAGCCAATGACTGCTCTATTTTTCTTTAGGAACAAGCTCAGTGGCTAATAACTGTGCTAGACGTCTATCATAATGCAGTTTAGTTGTGTTTGGAATGACCGAAAGTATAAACTCAGCTATCCTCTTGAGACTTTTTTTTGGCTTATCTTACCATTCAGTTGTCTACCACCATTTTATCTTTCATTGCAAAAGGTCCAAGAAGTGAATTGCATCAAAAAGAGTTTGTTCAAGGTCAATGCTCTGAAACTATCTTGACTTTTAGCATATTAGAAACAAAGGTTATGTAAAAGTTCAATTCATAATTCTCCTTGTAGGCCACATCTACAGCCCACAAGAAGATCACAGGATTCTTTTTTATGGCTTTCTTTCTCAATTTTACTTGCAGTTGTGTTTTTAATTCTTCTAGTATAATTTCTACTTATTGATTGCTTTATGGGTGATTGAATTCAGGTTGTATGAATCAGGAGGCTTTTCATGGTCATGAGAACATTATAAAGGTAAAGTCCTTGTTGAACTCAAAATTATATTTGCCAAAGCTGGACATTCTGCTCTATTAACAGTTTCGAGCTAGGTGTTATGTTATCATATATGTAGAATTAAGCATTAGACAGAACCAAAAGACATTTTGTTTAAGTTAGAGGCAGATAACTGTTAGTCCTTGCTAAAATGTTACATTATAGTGTCATGCGGTGGGGCTTAACATGGCCTAATACACCCTTGGCATTCAACTGCAAGGTAGATGGAAGAATTTGGCCTTGTTCATTACAATTCAAACTTATAATCTTTGCCACTCCACTAAATAGTTATGACCTTCATGAAGCCACAGGTGGCGGGGCTTACACATATGCAGATCTGTTCAAAGAGAAGCTCGGTATCAGCCTTGACAAGGTAGATGAAATGGATTGCCTTGTAGCTGGAGCAAATTTTTTGCTTAAGGTGAGATTTTACACCATATATTTTGTATGTGTAATTTTATTTTTTCTGCTATTGTAAGTTGATTGATGAAATGTGAAAGCATGTGGTATATGGCACATGGATGTCAGGATCATAACATCTTTTTTTTTTTTTTTTTGGTTGGGGGGGGGGGGGGGGAGTGACTTTGCATGTCTACATGAATCCTATTGTTAGGACTTTCATGTAGGAGTATCTTCATTATCAACGGAGAGGCAGGGGAGAATATGACAGTGGGGATAGCCAGAAGGACTCTTGGACCTCCTATTCGGAATATTGTTATATAAGGTGATCTATCTACTGATGCTTTAGTGCTAGAGTTTATCCATGCAGCTGTTCTACTGCATCCTAGTAAACCATTGAGAAATCACGTGCTTCAGCACTGCAAAGTGGTTGCTTAACAAAAGGAAAATTTCTTTCAGTTTTGCTTGAGGCATAACATGATGTAATGGTGAAGCATTTATTCTGTTCCTGGGATACCATCCTCAGGGGCCTTTGTCATATCATAACTTGGGATGTTCTAGATATAGTCAAGTTGTTAGCTTCTTTCCACTTTTTATTTTTGAAAAAAGTGTTTTGAGCTCTTGTGTTTTCTTGTGGAGAGCAAGACCAGGTTAGACCAGACATATAGGTGGATCTTTTAGATTGGTCAAGCCACAAGACCCACAAGAGGATAAGTGTATATGCTCTGTGCGAGTATCTGAATCTTCTTTCAATCTTATTTACTGCTTGCCAATCGGAATGCTTTTTGTAGCTATATATGTGCTAGATTCTCATTTCTATGGAACTGCTTCTGACACTGCTAAAACTTGATCATGCAACACATATATTGAGTATGTTACAGTGGATCATGGTTTCTTATCAGCCATATATTCTCCTTTGGTATTGAGTCATCTGTGTTACTGTAACTCATAATTGATTAATTTTTTTTTTTATAACTGAGCATGCATAATATGTCCCCTTTTTGCTGTCTAACATTTCCGATTAGGCTATATTGATCATTGGTTTTTTTTTTTTTTTTCTCTGGCTTGGAAATGATTTGGCTGGAAAAAACTGATTATTGTTCTACCTCTATTGATAGGCTGTCCACCCTGAAGCTTTTACTTACATGGATGGTCGCGAGGAATATGTGCAGATTGATCAGAATGATTTGTACCCTTATCTTCTTGTGAATATTGGATCTGGTGTTAGCATGATAAAGGTTATTGTCTACATGTTCATTTCTTCAGTCACTGATTGAGTATGCAGTCTGTTTTTTAATTTATTTATTGTTTGTTACCTTATAGGTGGATGAGATGACAAATTTGAGCGATGAGTGGAACAAGTGTTGGTGGTGGGACTTTTTGGGGTTTGGGAAAGCTGTTAACGAAGTGCAAGAGGTTTCCTTTTGTTGCGCATGTTAGTTTTCTCTTTTAAGTTGTCTTTTTATGGAAGGAGTTTAATTCTGATAATTTCTTGTGCCAGTTTTGACGAGTTGCTAGAGTTGAGCCACGAGGGGAATAATAGAGTTATAGACATGCTTGTTGGAGACATATATGGTGGAATGAATATGCAAAGGTATTCATATAATTTCAATTTAGTTCTTATCATCTAATTTTCTGTGAAACAACTAATGGTATAAAGAGGATTGCAATTTGGGTTTGGAGAGCTGATTTAGAACCTGCTGTTCAAATGAAAGAAAACAGAAGCAAGAAAAAGTAAAAAGAGGGCATCCAGAAGGCTTCCTGCCTTTGCAAGGGTTGGGAGGGTCATCAGTATGCATAGCCTTACCCTTATTTGCATAGAGGTTATTTCGAAGACTTGAACCTTTGACTTCCCAATCACAAAGGAGAAACCTTGATGTTGATTCAAGGAGTGCCCTCATTTTAGAACCTGTTGTTTGAGTTGAATTTTAAGTACATATGAAAAGTTGTTTACATTTTCATGTGGAATGAATATTATTTTCTGTTATAAACACCCTGTTCTGTTGGCAATTAGGAATTTGTAACTTGAAGAAGAAAAGAAAATTAAAACTTTGTAGCCAAGAGAAAGATCCTCTGACAGCTTCTGTTTAGTTATTTACATCATCAAACAATTTTTTTCCAAGCCATATAAACAAACTAGTTTGGTATCATCTGGAAATCAATTTGCCATAGCTCTTTCCTCTCTAGAGATACAACCTGCCATTTGGTAAGACCTACAGGCTACAATTGCATCTCTTAGCGCAGCACATATCTCTGTTGATATGTGGAACAGCAATTTTCCTATGTCCTGCATCCTTTTCTTTCTGCCATATGGTCTTATCTCCATCAGGAAGGCTTAAATCTGTTTCAACTCTCGTGCTCAACAAGTGTTCAGAATGATTGGTTGATAGTCAAGATATACAAAAGTACCATGTATGCATATTTAAGGAAACTGGTAAAAAAAAAAAAAAAAAAGGAATTTTCATTAAAATTATGAACTTCTGAGCAGTTCTGCCAAAATATTGTACTCAAGATAAAATTTCTGTTCATGTAAGGAGTTTAGTGGGTAAAATTTCACATTTACAACTTGCTTGAATGAGTAAATTATTAGGAAGGTATAATTAATAATTCTGGATTAGTAGTAATATCATATCTCTTCTAAAAGCATAATGTTTTATATGCTTCATTGTTATATGGACATGATATTTGGTTTAGAATTTGGATCACATGTATCATATGGAACTTGTTACTGCAATGTAGTTGAACAAAAGTAGATGCATTGGATATGAAAGATTTGGGACATGGCTAATATTTGTAAATGTTTTTAATTTAAATCTAGTGCTAAGCTATAAATCAATAGCTTTGGCCAATGAGTGATATCAGATCACTTATAAAAGCAAAGCTTTTTGACATGTTTTTATCTGAATGTCGTTTTGGTGTACAATTTGGATCACACAGTCAAATGCCATTTATAGCAGCATGTTTGATTGAATTTTGATGCAGTAGGTCTGAATGATCTTGTGCAGGCTAATTTATTTACTACTTTGCTCCTAGTAACTTTTTCAAAACCTGATTTATGGAATTGCATTGACCAACAAGGAAAGTCATGTTATATTGTGTCATTGCAATGTCCATTATAATTTTCTGATTATTAAATTTATGTTAATAGTTTTCTCTTAATTTCTTTTTACTGCGATGACGAGCTGAAATTAAATCCTAGTACTCCAATTATAACAGATTGGCCTCACATCGACACCATTGCTTCCAGCTTTGGGAAGGCTATTTCAGAAAAGAAGGAGCTCAAAGATTACAGACCTGAAGATATCTCCCGGTCACTTTTAAGAATGATATCAAATAATATTGGACAGGTAAACTATATTAAGACTGTTTTCTCGTGAGCATTAAAATGTATTTGTGTACAAACCCTATTCCTGTGGTAAAAGAACTTAATGAGATTTGCATACACCAGCACAATTCCAAACACCAGAGAACTTTCTCTCTGCATGACTGTAATGAGCTTTCTTGTTAAAAGTAGCTGTTATTTGAAAGTTTAGTCTTTTAGAACCACACAATAATGTATATGAAATATGTATGCAGGCTTTGTTTCTCAGTTTCTCTATCTGTACTTGCTTTTGGAAGCAACCTTTTGTTCATTTGAAAAGTTTTATGTACTAATCATATTAATTGTCCATTTATTTTTCCACAAACTTTGTGTTCGATATATAGATGTTCATATTTCTATATTCATTGAGTAATAAAATTGTAGAATTTATTAACTGGAAACAAGAAGTGTACAGTTATCATAATCGTCATCATCCAAGCCAAACTTATCATTTATATGCCTTTGGGGACATTCGGGTGGCCCAAAATGATTTTTGGATTGCCAACTTGATGCAGTAGTTTAAAAGAAATAGTTTCAGGCACATTCAAATGTATAGGATTGAGCACAAATCCGGTATGCCATTATTAATTGCTAGTGTCATTCTGTGCTTACTCAGATTGTAGGGTTGCCTGCATGTTGTTGGCCAGCACCATTGTGATCGTAACATTGTCTTATTATCTAATTCATTATCAATATTATTCTGTGCAAACTCAAATGCAGAATAAAAATGCTTTTGTTTCCTGGTGTCATTGAGATTCAACACGTTTATGCATGATATCATGAGTTCTATGTCCAAGGAAATGCACAAAGACTTTGAATGTCATAAATTTTGCAGAAGTATGTTTGTATAGTACATGTAAAACATCAGAATTTAATTCATTGATAATGTTCCTTTCTTGCCTTATTGCAGACCATCCTCAGTTTTATTCAAGTGTTCTTAGACTCTTTACATTATCTTGATATTATTTTATATATAAATGCTATTTTCAGATTGCTTACTTGAATGCCCTTCGTTTGGACTCAAGCGAATTTTTTTTGGAGGCTTTTTTTCATTCGTGGTCATGCTACACTATGGACACAATATCAGTTGGAGTTCACTTCTGGTAAATATAATTCTACCTTTTACAATTTTCTGAAGCAGTAATTTGTTGACTCTTCTCATAAACAAAGTTTGTGCTACTATCGTTTTGGCCAAGGAGTCCTTGTTGTCTTTGCTTTTTTAGTTTTAATTTCTTGACCAAATGAAAGAACATGCGCAAGATTCAAAAAGGATGCCCTCTTAATTGTTTTAAAATAAAAACTATGAATGCAAATTTTGCTATCAATGTTGAATATTGTGTCAAAATTTTGAAATGGCCTTGTGCATTTACCAGTAGATTACTATGAAATCTTCATGTTTCTTGAATGTAACTTCATTGAGTCACTATAAGCATCCTCGGTTCTGGTCATTGTGTTCTCTTCGTTCTCTGTGCATCCTTTTCTGCCTGTTCCAATTGATTCCAATTAAGTTGACGCACTATTGCATTATCAGGTCAAAAGGAGAGGCAGGCAATGTTTTTGAGGCATGAAGGTTTTCTAGGAGCCTTGGGTGCGTATGAGCAACGAAGATCATGGTCTTGAAGAGATCATGAACCATTATTTTTTTGTGAACTCTAATCTCATTCTATACATAAGAGATAGATAAGATTTACATATAATTTTTAACGGAATGGCATACACCGCCATTTCAATGCTGTGAAAATTTAAACAGTTTCCTGACATGCTGTCTCCGTCACCCATGCCAACTGCACAGCTTGAAAGGGCTCAAACCATAAACCCTTTTCAAACTTACTGAAGCTCCATTCTCATCTTATAACACGAGAGATTAGAGTGCTCTGTATTAATCGAACATTTCATTTGAGAAAGATGTCGCAAATAAAGGAAAGAATGTCGATTGTAAAGTGCAGCGTCCGACCGATCTCAACGTGTAATTTGTCTGTTTCTTAAACCGTCCTGCTGACTTCAGACTCTGCTTTTTAAAAAAAAAAAAAGAAAAAAGTGTGCATGTTTTTGATTGAATATTGTTGAAATAAAAACATTTATGAAAAGTAAAAAGAAATCTATTATTACCTATACTATATCTTCATGCAAATAACATAAAAATGATAGGAAAATATGTTTTCCTACGCATTTAAAAAGACAACATTTTGCCTTAATTCAAAATTATTTTTTTCTTTGAACTCAAGAAGCAACTGCACGTGAAACGTTTTACGAAAAAGCTTGGCATCCCTCATAATCCCTTTTGAGGTTATGCAGAACCTCTAAATGTAGTGTAGACATGGTTTGAAATTTATTCGCACTACTTTAATGTATGATTTTCAATTGCGGCATTCGTTTTTTTATCAAATAACAATAGAAAAAAAATATTTACACAAGTAAACAATACCACATCTACCATTCCTTGTAGATAAAAACGACCTTAGGGTTTGCTGTTGTTGATGCAGCGATTAAAGGAGGAAGCCACCTTCTCCCTTTCAGCCATAAACCTCAACCTTTTTCCCCCAAATTTTGGCTTGTTAATCTTAATTTCTTACCAAATTTGGCCTCATTTTGTCAAAAAATGGCATCATATTATTTTTACTAACCCTTCAGACCCAACAATATCCCAAAATGACTGAAAAAATTAGAATTTTATATGGAGAAATTGAAATTTTTATATAAATTTAATTGGGTACAAAAAATGTTACATTTTCAGGTACCTTAAAGTAAAAGTGGGTCATCCTAGAAACTGGGGGACGAATTGCATTTGGATATAGCTAGAGAACCAAAAATATGTTCTCTCTTATTACATTTTCGATTCTCCAGTCAACGATACTTGCACAAATTAATTATCTGTATTTGGTGTCAGGGAGTGATATATTAAGTCAAAAATCCAATATCAACTAAATTTATTATTGGTCTTGCATGAGCTGCATCCCAAACTGACCTTTTCTTTGGCAGCTTCCTCCATGCTGAGAATTACACCCCGATCACTTCAGAATGAGCCCCGATTACTTACAGCATATAATACATTACTAAGGGAGTGTTTGGAAATGTTTTTGAAAAATCAGAATTAAGTGATTAAAGTAAAAGTGATTAGAAGTAATTTAAACAAGAAGTATTTTGTG